TTAGTGTCTACTAATTTATTATTTTTTTTCCCAAGAAACAGTTTAACTATATGTTTTGAACTTTATGTAATGGAATCATCCAGTATGTGTTTTTTTGTATCTAGTTTTTTATCAACATTATGTTTTTAAGATTTATCTATGATGCCGCATGTAGCTATTCAGTTATTTTTATTGCTGTATAGTATTCCATTACATGAATTATCATAGTTTTTTAATCCATTATCTTGTTAGTAAACATTTGGGTTGTTTTCAGTTTGGGACTATTATGAATATTCTTGTGTATGCCTATAGGTGTGTATATACACATTTCTAAAGGTCCATGTCTAGTAGAATTGCTGGATCATAGGATATGCAGAACTTCAAATTTACTAGATAATGCCCAATTATTTTTTGGAGCTGTTCCAGTTTATATTTCTATCTTTATGCTTCTTTCCATATATTTTTTTTCTTGTTTTGGACTCTTTCTTTTTTTTTTTTTTTTTGCGGTACGCGGGCCTCTCACCATTGTGGCCTCTCCCGTTGTGGAGCACAGGCTCCGGACGTGCAGGCCCAGCGGCCATGGCTCACAGGCCCAGCCGCTCCGCGGCACGTGGGATCTTTCTGGACCAGGGCACGAACCCGTGTCCCCTGCATCAGCAGGTGGACTCCCAACCACTGCGCCACCAGGGAAGCCCTGGACTCTTTATTTTTTAAATGATTATTTTATTTTCTTAAGTCTTTGGAATTCATGATACTGTGTTTATTTAATTTTAGTTTTCATTTTCTCTGTAGCAGAATTTCTAGGGTGAGGGTTTTTTTTTCCCTGGCTATTTTATCTGTGTAGCAGTCTTGTTTTTAATTTGTATGTTTGTAAAGATACTAGCACCTTTTAAATTATTACTCATCTTTGCAGTGAATTCAGCTTTTACTTCTTAGGTTGCCAGTAGGGATGAGCAGCTATTCAGAGATAAGTCATGTTCCTTCCAGTTTGGAGTTTTTCTCTGAGATTCTTTGTAGAATACTTCTTATAAAGATGGAAGGTCAGTCTGTTTCCTGTAATGGTGTTACATACTGTCCAGGTAGGCTCCTCTTAGACTTCGTTCTCATTGTTTCAAGCAAAGGATTATTGGATCTACTCCTGCAGGTGTACCATGTGCTTTGAGGATCTGTCTTCTGTTGGTTTTATCTGAGGGGTTTTGTTTGTGTTTTGTTTGATTTTCACTGCATTTGGCAGTCCTTGCTCATTTATGGTGGTGGCTCAGGTACAGAGGTCTCCTAATTTCTTTGAAAGGGGCATTTGCATTTCTTTTTCATTCTTTTTTTAGAGTGATTTCTGAGAGAAGAGAGCACATATATCTTAATTCCATCATCTTAAAACCCAAAGCTTTGTTTATATTTTCTAGTTAAGAGCACTTTCAGTGTTTCATTGCAAAATACAATGTTTGGCATAGTCACTAGTAGTTATCCTTACCAAGTTAAGAAAATTTCTGTTTCTTACTAAAACCTTCTATTTATTTATTGTTTTTAAGATCAGGAATGTTTGCTGAATTTCTGGCATCTAGGAAGATGTTTTTTTTTTCCTCTTTAATCTTCTAGCATAGAAATTACATTAGTACATTTTCTAATATTGAATTATCCTTGCATTCCTTCTTTCTTATGATAGATTCTTTTACTGACTGATTTTTCTCCTAGTTATAAGTCATGTTTCTTGTTTCTTCATGTATTTCCAGTAATTATTTATTAGATACTGGACACTGTGAATGTTATGGTGTTGAATGCCTGGATTTTGTCTTCTAAGTATTGAATTTTGTTTTATTTTGCAGTTAAGTTACTTGCGGATCAGTTTGATCCTTTTCAGCCTTCATTTTTCTGAGTTTCATGCTCTCGACCTGACCTTACAAAACTCAGAAACAAAACCTTACTTATACACATGTCTTTACTATTAAAGTATGTCTCTTCTGGGGTCCAGATTGAAGTCCTAGGTGTCTTGGCATCTATGGAAGCTCTCTCTACTTAGGCCACTTGGAACATGAATATCTCTGTGCTCTGGAATTGATCAGCTTACAACTCCCACGGCCTTCGGCAGCAGAATCTAGGGGACCCCCCCACGATTTTTGGAGTTCTTTTTCTGTGTAGCTTCCTTCTCTCTGATACTCTACCCTGCTAATTCCAACCACTTCAGACTTATTAAACTCTGAGTTCTGACTCCTCAACTCAGCAAGACTGCCGAATTCTGCTTGACATCCTTTTCCCTACGCCACAGTTTGAAGGGCCTCTCCTTTTTCATTTCTGATACTATTTTTGTTTTATTTCTTGAATAGATTTGGCAGAACTTTATCTAATTCTTTTTATTTTCATTTTTTTAACGTTTACTTTGTCCCTTTTGCTAACTTCTTAATTTAATTGCCTCTTTAATATATGTTTAGTTTTGTGTTTGGTATATGGCAGTGGCCTACCCTTGCTCTTAAACTTATGGCTTGCACTTAATTTCTCTAGGGACTCTTCTGAGAAGAATGGCTCATAACTACTGTGCAGTCTTCTCTTGTACCTCTTTTGGGTTGCAAGATTTAGTCCTTTACTTTTGGTGTTGGATCAAATGATACATGAGTACAAGTTTGACATTCAGATAAAGGCTACCTTAATCACCAACTCCAATTCAAGACCTCTCCACAGAAATCTACCACTCCTGTCAGTTTGATGTGTACTTTTCAGCCTTTTCTGTGCTCTATTTATAATTTATACCATTCTTAGAAATGTAAACAGTGTAATCGTGTGTGTGTGTGTGTGTATTTTGCTAGTAAATTATATTATACTGTATTATTCCTTTTTTTTGTCTTTAACAAATATGTTTATTGTACAGAGATTACCCCTCATATAAATTACTGCAGCAGGGCTTCCCTGGTTGCGCAGGGGTTGAGAATCCGCCTGCCATTGCAGGGGACACGGGTTTGATCCCTGGTCCGGGAAGATCCCACATGCCATGGAGCAACTAAGCCTCTGTGCCACAACTACTGAGCCCACGTGCCTAGAGCCCGTGCACTGCAGCAAGAGAAGCCACCACGGTGAGAAGCCCACATGCAGCGACGAAGACGCAACACAGCCAAAAATAAATAAATAAAATAAATAAATTTATTTTAAAAAAATCACTGCAGCACACAACTACAGGAATTCACAAAGCAATTGACATTTATTGAACAATATCTGTGTGCTAAGGGCATTTTTGAGGGCTTTGCACAATTCTCGGGAGGTACTAGAACTCTCAGTTTGCAGATAATGAAAGTAAGACTCAGCTAAATTATGGGATGTGTCCAAGATTACAGAGCTAATAAGGAAGAGATCCAGCATTTGAATTAGATCTATGAAAGGCATAAGGATCAAAACACTGAAAATAACGGACCAGAGCTTCCCCTTGCATAGATGATAGCTTTCAGTTACTTCTCATGAAAATGAAGAAAGAAAATTATGTATTCCTTTGCTAGTCCACAATCAAGATGTCAGGAGGATTGGTCTCCTCTGAGGGCTGTAAGAGAAGTATCTGTTCCAGGCCTCTCTCCTTGACTTACAGATAGCTGTCTTCCTTCTATACATATCTGTGTACAATCCTTCCCCACCATCTTGCTCTTCTCCTACTACCAACAGCAGTTAGACAACATACACTGGGTTTTATACAAAAACCCAGTACATAAAGAGCATTCTGGCCATGATAGGTTCAGAAATGGCATAATATTGCCCCACTGAACTACAGCAATAATAGTTGGTGGGTCTGATCTATTGCAAGTAGCAGAGGCCAGCAAGTATTTATCATTCTTAACCTGCTCTTCTCATTTAGCAGTATGTTTTGGAGATTTTTCCATGTCAGTTCATGTAGATCTACAAATAATCTTATAGTATTCCACAGTATGTGTATATCATAGTTTATTTAAGCCTCTACCTATTAATGAAATACAGATACTTCCAGGAATTTTTTTTTGGGGGGGGGCTCCTTTAAGCAGTGCTACTCCGAGATATTCTTGTACATTGTCTCTTGTGTTCCTCTGTGAATATTAGTTTATAAGAAACGGAATTAAACGGGCCTTAAAGATGTGTGTTTTTGTGGATTTTGCCAGTCCTTTAGGACATCTGTATTAATACACATTCCTTCTAGTACCAGTTTTCCATATCCTTGGTCTACTTTTTTTTTTTTTTTTTTTTTTGGCTGTGTTGGGTCTTCGTTTCTGTGCGGGGGCTTTCTCTAGTTGCGGCGAGCGGGGGCCACTCTTCACCGCGGTGCGTGGGCCTCTCACTGTCGCGGCCTCTCTTGTTGTGGAGCACAGGCTCCAGATGCGCAGGCTCAGTAGTTGTGGCTCACGGGCCTAGTTGCTCCGCGGCATGTGGGATCTTCCCAGACCAGGGCTCGAACCCGTGTCCCCTGCATTAGCAGGCAGATTCTCAACCACTGCGCCACCAGGGAAGCCCCCTTGGTCTACTTTAATTACTGTTTTTGCCAAACTGATACATGAACCAAAGTAACTCATTTTCTATCTGGTTTCTACATTCCTGAAATTCTTAAAAATTCCTGATTCACTGTTTGCACCTTCTGTGCTGTAATGAATATTCTTCTATGTACATTTTTTCTTTTTTCTGTATATATCTTTGCTCTCATCTTAAAATAATTTTAGAAGAAAGGGGAGGTGAGCACACTCACCCCAAAGATACTGGTGTCTTTAACCCAGTATCCTGATCCGTCATGGATGCTGGATTACTGCTTGTGAGTACTACTAACTTGCTCTTGCGTGTCAGTCTCTACATTCCCATTTGGGTTTGTGTCTCAGCATAAATCTCCATGTCATGGACCTTTGGGTCCAACCCTTAAATGCTTGAAATGGTAAGTATAAACTCTGTAAATGCTAAGATTCTACTATACTTTGTGTAGAATGGTGATTAAACAATGTAACCTTTTCTGAAAAAATCATTATTAAATCAGAAGATCTGTTACATTAATAAAAATTAATAGTAATGATTTTTGAAATTTGTATTTTTAGGTTTTAGAATACTTAAATGATCTGAAACAATATTGGAAAAGAGGATATGGGTATACCATTAATAGTCAATCCAGCTGCACCCTGTTTCAGGATATCTTTCAGCACTTGGACAAAGCAGTTGAACAGAAACAAAGGTAAAAACTTTAAAAAAATTGTTTTTTGGTGTATTGGGTCAGCCAGAAAGTTCGTTCGGGTTTTAGGATCTTACGGAGAAACCCAAGTGAACTTTTTGGCCAACCCAATATATTCTGAGTGCCCAGTTACGCTTCTGGAAAATGTTTTATAATGGTGATTTTTAAAAATAGATTTTGCTTATGGTTTTTTAAAAAAATAATTATACTTACAAAAGAATTAGATGACATATGTAAGTTATAAAGCATATAAACATATAAACCCTCCATTCAACCCAGGAACTGGAACATTACAATAATTTGCATGTGTCTATTTATGTGTTCCTTAGTGACTCAATTTTCCTGCCCTCCCTTGCCCCATTTACTCCCTATCTGCTTTAACTACTATTCTGCATTTGGTTTGCCTCTATAAAAAGGCTTTATTATGAATGTATGTGTGCCCAAACAATATGTTTAGTTTTGCTTAGAGACATAAGCAAATGGGACTTGTTTTTTTTCCCCCTCAACATTACATTTATAATATTTATCATGTTGTTGCATATGCTGTAGTTCATTCATTTTTGCTACAGTACAATATTCAATAATGTTCAATATTCAGTAAATAAATACCACAGTTTGTATCATCTTCTCTTGTCAGTGGGCATTTGGGTAGTTTCTGGTTTTTGCTATTATAAATAGTGTAATTGTACATGGTTTCTGGTATGAATTTTTTTTTGTTTTTATTTTAAATGAGAGTTTCTCATCAAAAAGTCTCTGTTAACATTCATACTTCTCAAAGTTTTAAAAAAAAACCTTTTCATAATTTGAACAATTTGGTAGAATATAAACCCCATTTTATTTGATAAATATGCTTCCATGAAAGCTTATACATTCACAGTTGGAGATGAAAATCATGCTATAAACACTGAGACAGAAAGACTGAAGATGGTGTATTTAATTGGGTTGGCAGTATGAAGTTTTATATACATACAGATATAGAGAGAAATTATGTGAGTTTGTGGATATGACTTCAGTTTGTGGAATTTTCTTGGGTTTGGGAATTAGGGACCATCTGTACTAGATCTGGTTTTCTTCCCTGACTTACAATGGTTCAACTTATGATGTTTTGACTTTGTGATGGTGCAGAAATGATACACATTCAGTAGAAACTGTACTTTGAATTTTGATCTTTTCTGGGGCTAGCTATATGCAGTATGATACTCTCTCATGATGCTGGGCATTGGCAGTCAGCCACAGCTCCCAGTCAGCCATGCGATCACGAGTGAAACACTGCTAATATACTTACGACTCTTCTATATCTGTACAACCATTCTAGTCTTCACTTTGAGTACAGTGTTCAATAAATTATATGAGATATTCAACACTTTATTATAAAATAGGCTTTGTATTAGGTGATTTTGCCCAACTGTAGGCAAATGTAAGTGTTTTGAGCACATTTAAGGTAGACTAGGTTAAGTTATGATGTTTGGTAGGTTTTTGACTTATTGATGTTTTCAGTTTAATGATGGGTTTATTGAGACATAACCCCATCATAAGTGGAGGAAGATCTGTACTTAGTTTCTGCGACCAAACACTTTTTTGGGGCAAAATAGTCAAGGCAAATTCCCTCTTGAGATAGGCATTAATTTCTTTCCTACTTGGTTTTATGAACTTTTTAAAACCCTTAGACTTTATGAGATAACAGATCTTTACTGTTTGTTCATTGTTTATTTGTTTGTCCCATTGTTGAATGTGAGGTAATTAAAATTGTGTCTGAAAGATTCTTAAATAACTTTTGCAAGGTTTGCTGTTACAATTTGATACCAGATTCAAAGCTTAAGTAAGAATTTTATCATTGGTGTTTTAAAAATAAGTATTTCTGTACATTGGAAACTATAAAGCATTACAGAGAGAAATTAAAGGTAACCCAAATAAATGCAGAGAGATACTATCTTTATGGATTGGAAGACTCAGATTGATTATCTGTAGGTTGACTGCAATCCCTATTGTAATTCCAGTAGGTCTCTGTAGAAATTGAGAAACTTATTCTAAAATCTATACAGAAATGCAGAGCACCCAGAAGAGCTAAAACAATTTTGAAAAAAGAACAAAAGGACTTAATAAATACCTGACTTCAAAACTTACAAAACTATAGCCGTAAACAAATGGATCAATAGAATAGAATAAAGTCAAGAAATAAATTCCGATATATATGGTCAGTTTTTGACAAAGGTGCCATGGTAATGCATTGGAGAAAAGAATAGTCCTTTCAACAAGTGGTGCTGGAACAATTGGACATCCATATGTTAAAAAATGGCAGACCCTTACTTCACATTCTATACAAAAATGGATCATAGATTTAAGTATAAAATGTAGAATTAGAAGACTTCTAGAAGAAAATGTAAGATCAAGCAGCAAGGATATATTGTACAGTGTAGAGACATATAGCCATTATTTTGTAATAACTTAAACAGTATAATCTATAAAAATATTGAATCATTGTGTGATATACCTGAAACTAGTATAATTGTAAATCAATGATACTTCAATTTTTAAAAGTAAACAAAAAATATAGGATCGATGGCCTTGGATATAAGAGCTAAAACAATGAAACTCTTAGAAGAAAACATAGTAGTAAATCTTCATTTACTACTCTGCCTATTTGGGACTTGGCAGAGATTTCTTAGATACAACATTAAAAGCACAATCCATTAAAAAATTGATGAAATGGACTCCATCAAAATTAAAAATCTTTGTGCTTCAAAAATCACTATCTGGAAAATGAGAAGACAAGCAATAGACTTGGAGAAAATAGTTGCAAAACATATATATGATTAAGGATTTGAATCCAGAATATATAAAGAAGTTATATCTCACTAGTAAGGTGACACATAACCCAATTTTAAAAGAGGGCAAAAGATTTGAACAGATACTTTACTAAAGAAGATATATGGATGGCAAATAAGCACATGAAAAGATAGCAATAAACTATCTACTGATTATATTATTAGATATTAAAACCATTGTGAAATACCAGTAATACCCCTAAACTGGCTGTAAAATAATAGAAAAAATATATATATATTGGTCTCTGCCCCAGGTTCTTGACACAGGGCTCCTGAAACCATTGTCATTTCCTGGGTAATAGGAGTGTCTTTTGTTCTAATGAGGTGACTGTATAGGCTCGTGGATGGCTCCAGGATGACGACTGGTCACCAGAAAGACCAAGCCATGATTAGAAGCTTGGAATTTTCAGCCCCATTGCCCCCCCCACCCCCGCCCCCACAATTCTCTTGAGAAGGGGAAAGGGCTGGAAGTGGAGTTAATGATCAATCTCAGCTACGAGGTTCAGGGAGCTTGTGGGTTGGTGAATGAGTAGAGGTGTGGCAAGAGTGGCATGCCTGGAGAGGACATGGAAGCTCTGTGCCCCTTCCCACATAACTTGCCCTGCACATCTTTTCCATCTGGATGTTCATCTGTATCCTATGTCATATCCTTTTTTAGTAAACTGGTAAATGTAAATAAGTATTTCCCTGAGTTCTTGAGCCACTCTAGCAAATTAAACCTGAGGAAGGGGTCATGAGAACCTTCTATCTGTAGCCATACTGGATAGAAGTTGTGGGTAACCTGGGTGACGACCTGCTGCTTACAATTGGCACCTGAAGTGGGGGCCAGTCTTGTGGAACTGAACCCTTAGCCTGTGGGATCTGATGCTGTCTCTAGGTAGATAGTGTCAGAATCGAGTTAAATTTTAGAACAGCCATCTGGTGTCACAGAAAATTGCTTAATGTGGGGGAAAAAAACCCTACACATTTGGTAACCAGAAGCGTCAGAAGTATTGTGAATGTGGTAGTAGTGTGAGAGTAAAGGAGAAACAGAGGAGGAAAGGACTACATATTTTTCTTATTCAATGGCTAAAATTAAAAAAAAAAGATTTTCCCAAGTGTTGGTGAGATGTGGAGGAACTGGAAACCTTACGCACTTTTGGTGGGAATGTACAATTGTATAGCCGCTTTGAAAAAGTTTGACAGCTTCTTAAAAAGAATCTTCTTAGGACTTCCCTAGTGGTGCAGTGGTTAAGAATCTGCCTGCCAGTGCAGGGGACATGGGTTCGAGCCCTGGTCAGGGAAGATCCCACATGCTGTGGAGCAGCTAAGCCCGTGCACCACAACTACTGAGCCTGCACTGTAGAGCCCTCAAGCCACAACTACTGAGCCCACGTGCTGCAACTACTGAAGCCCACACACCTAGAGCCCATGCTCTGCAACAAGAGAAGCCACGGCAATGAGAAGCCTGCGCACCGCAATGAAGAGTAGCCCCTACTTGCTGCAGCTAGAGAAAGCCCGCACGTAGCAATGAAGACCCAACACAGCCAAAAATAAATAAATTAATTAATTAAAAAAAAAGAATTTACTAATTCAGAAAAATGGCACCTTTCCTTAGAGTTTTTTCGAGATGATCCCAAAATGCTTATAACATGTAAGAATGAAATCAGAACATTCTCTAACACTGTATACAAAAATAACTCAAAATGGATTAAAGACCTAAATGTATGACCAGGTACTATAAAACTCCTAGAGGACAACATAGGCAGAACACTCTATGACATAAATTGTAGCAATAATTTTTTTGATCCATCTCCTAAAACAAAGGAAATAAAAGCAGACATAAACAAATGGAACCTAATTAAACTTAAACACTTTTGCACAGCAAAGGAAACCATCAATAAAACGAAAAGACAATCTACTAAATGGGAGTAAATATTTGCAAATGATATGACTGACAAGGAGTTAATATCTAAAATATATAAACAGTTCATACAATCCAATATCTGAAAAATGGGCAACCAAATCAAAAAACAGGCAGAAGACCAGAACAGACATTTTTCCAAAGAAGACATACAGATGGCTAACAGGCATATGAAAAGATGCTCAGCATCACTAATTATTAGAGAAATGCAAATCAAAACTGCAATGGATATCACCTCACACTGGTCAGAATGGCTAACATCAAAAAGTCTGCAA